ATTGTTCTTAACACATAATTGCCATTTTTCCGCTTGACTTCGTACTTCGTAATTCAACATATGTGCACAGCATGTACTATGTTCTACGATAAGTATCATGGCAACATCAAATATTTTCATCCCCCCCTTTGTTGGAATCGATTAGGTGTAACTGGGTACAAATAGTGGCTTCCCAACCATAAAATGAAACGGGCTGATACAACTACTTGCAAGAGTAGTGAGGTTGCGCGCGCGGCGTGCAATCTCACATGTTGCTAAAGACACGCAACAATTACAATGCAGACGCTTAGTGATAACAAAAGCATTTTGAAGACCGAATTTTTAGTTTCAAATAGATGTTCTCGCAAATTCTGTGCTGGATTAATGCAATATTCTTTGTAGTTTATGGGAATGCGAACCCGTACATGGCTAACTTTCAACTTTTCACATTCTTGAATGTTGTGTTTTTCATTGTCGCTCCAATTTGCTTTTTTTGTCAGATTTCGCGCTTCATACTATATACCACTGTACTATATTACTATACTTCATTCTTCTCTAATGCAGATAGCATTTGAAATAAAGGCACTTAAGACTTTATTTGGAGATTAGAAAATTTTGTGAAGATAGACAACAAGCAAGAATGGCCAAAATCAGACAATGCACTTCCTACTCTGCTCATCAGTCCCTATCACCTTGTTTTTTGAAGAATACATGCTAAGGTATTGAATAGAAAATCCATCAATTTAATATGATTGCTTGGATTTTTGCTCAAAGAAAATTGCTGTGAAGTTCTTCACAAGTGCAAAAATAAGATAATCAGTTACAAGTTGCATTAATAAGGAAAATGACGCATATGTACGTTGAAAATTGTTATTGTGCCATCTTTAGAATCAGTGCAAATGCGCTTTTATCTTTAGAATTCCACAGTTTCGAACTTGCGCTCTGATGTTCATTCTATTGATTCGTGTCTGTTGTTAATTGCTGTCCAGAAAACAACGAAATGGTAAAGACAATGATTTAATTGTCACAACGTATAAGTGATGAGCGATCAGAAGGAGGGTCAAGTTCAAGCGCTTTTTGAAAAATAACTGCAGATAAGTGGCCGAAAATCAGTAATTCTCACTTTGTTGAGCATACCTTTCCATTTGCAATTAATTTAAGATTAATACATGTTCATCAGTCAGGTCTCGGCACAACTGGCGACGGGTCGAGCTGGCTGTCGTTTTTGGGACAAAAAGCAAAGGAGATAACCGGGTGGGCGAAAAGACACAAAAACTGCGACGTTTTTTACTCGGCGTTTCGTTTTTCGAGGTTTATTTTACGTTTAGGGTTTAGGGTCAAGGGGACTTCGGAAATTTTTGGGAAAGTCAAGGGGGACTTCGTATTAAAATTTCACTGGTGCCAGCTCTGCGGGGTCCTGTCATCAGCGGCGTAAGCAAGAATTCCATTCGGGCAAGGGGAGAGGGGGGGGGGGGGGAGGAAACAAATCATTTCTTCGGAAGAAGGTGCGTAGGGTTAGCTTTTACCCGAAACGCCCCCGAAAATTTTCTTTTTAGAAGAAAAACTGAATTTTTAGAAATTCCGAAATTTATTTCGGTTACTTACAATTATACACAAATTACTTGCACGTTTGTCTAGCTCATGTGAGCAATTTTCGAAAATTTCGCACTGGCCGAATTTTACAGCTTTGGCATAGGAATCATAGCGCACTCTGAAAAAAAGTCGTTCCTTACCATACATAAATATTGCCAACCACAAAGTTTTAGCAAAGAATGCGCTTTCGAAGATTGGTACATTTTCTCTAAACAAGCGGAAAATTAGCTTTATCTATACTACAATCATTTCGTTTTATCTTGATTTATTGATTTTTGTTTTTAAAAAACCAAAACCAATTTTCAAAAAAGCTTAACATTACAAAATTTTGACCCTTCAACTTCACGTTTCAACTGATGAACCTTGCAGAACATTTCCTAAGATCATGTTTAGATCATAAATAAACATAGGAGTTCCATCCAGAAATCGTTGTTGAGCAAATCCACAGCGTTCGTTCCAGGTCACGTAGAATCAATTGTGCGAGCACAAACGTTGGCCTAGATTTCCGACGAATCGCAGATGATGCGTGAAAAAGTGACGTAAGACCGCGCATTTCGCGGCTTGTTAGGGTTACGTAACCGGGATTTCGCACAAATGCAGATGCGGGGATGTTATTTATGCGTATAGGAAGAAACTGGAATCAGTCATCCGCGTTAGGCTAAGAATGAGACTTTACGCAAATTTCGAGCGCGGGCGTTGCGAGAAAGAAGGGGGGGGGGGGATACGAAACAAGTTTCCGGAGCGGGAAGGAGGGGGGAACTTGCCCGTAATCAATGATTTTGATTCCGAAATCTTCGAATGCTTGGTAAGCATTATAACCATTTTCCTCGAGGAAAATTGCAGTTTATTAGATTTGGCGGCTACTTTGTGCATTTGCGGTGCAGACAGCATTTGCGCGTAGAAAATAGGGCGCGCATTACAAGTTTTGCACGTCACGACTTTTGCATTGATTATCTTCAGCGTCGAATTATCATGCATGAAAATATGGAAAGAAAGAATATGAATGGATTTTCGGCAATGAATGAATGATAAATGAATGAACGAGTGAATGAACGGGTAAATGAATGGATAAGTGGATGAATGAATGAATGAATGAATGAATGAATGAATGAATGAATGAATGAATGAATGAATGAATGAATGAATGAATGAATGAATGAATGAATGAATGAATGAATGAATGAATGAAAAATAAGTGAATGAACACAACAGTCGCAGTATGATTGAAAGCAAGTAACGACCAGTCAAGAACAACACAGTTGAAGAGTAGGGTAGGTCAGTAATCAGATATGGTACCGCATGTTACGCTGAAGTAAATAAAATCAGAAAACAAGAATTCTGGCTTTTGTCAGAATGACAGGTATACGTTGTGGGTCCAGGGCGGAAGGGAGACGATGGAGGAAAAGGGAATGGTTCAAAGAGTGTAAAGTAAGGGTAAAGAGAAAGTGTGACAGTAAAGGATAGGTTAACAATGAGATACAGAAGGAACTGAAGACCTTATAAGAAAGTTGAGAAGATAGAAAGCCTGCTATCAATCTAGTCTTCGGTAAGAAAAAAAAGAAAAGAAGTGGCGCTGGTACAAACAAAGAAATTGTCAAACCCTTTGGATATAAAGGAGATGATTAGACGGGAAAAAAAGAGAGGAGCAACGAACGCTGAAGAAAAAACTCTAAGCGGTGAATGCGATGATTGAATGTAACAGGTTCAACCAACTTTCCGAAAAGGAGTGACTAACAAACTGACACAAAGGCACCCGAAAAGTCAATAGAAATCGCAAAAAAAAACATTAACAAAAGGAAACACTAAGTCAAGTCCGTTGAAATGACAGTTACTCAGCGCAGAGGTCACTAAATAACAGCGCAAAACAAGAAGCAGAAATTTTTTCACATTTTCAAAAGTTGCTCTGATTTGTTCTATCTTTTTCGTTTTTTAAAGATTTTCGATCAGTCTGGTTTGATTTATTAGCTGCAGCGATCTGATGTTTGATTCCAATGACAAATTTGAGTCACCGTTCTCCTAAACATTTATTTCTTTTTTAGGCAAAAAAGTTTTAGATTTATGAGAAAAGTTAATAGATTCTTCTCGTTCTTTCAGCATGAAGTTTAGTAGTAACTTAATGCATCATAGTAGTTTCCTTTATACAACAAACCATTAAAGCGCAAATTTGTACCAAGTAAAATTTCTATAAAAATGAAAATGTGTACATTTTAGCATATTCATAACTTATAGTCACTGCAACTTACCACTTACTGTACGGTGAAAACAAAAAAATTGTTTACTACACATGTTTACAACGCAAAACAATCACAAATAGGTACCAATTAGTTTCAGGTGCACATCGTACAAAACAATAGCCCAACGGAGATTCCATTAAATTTGGTGAAAGAATTTCCCGTTTTCTCTCCTGTTTAAATGGAAGGTTGAATAAGAGGATTGATTTATTTTGATTACGTCGTTGGTATCATTTTTACCGTTAACATAAGATCATGTGAGATTCATAGTGTAAGCATGGTCGTGTGTGTCTTTATTTGTTGCCCTAATTAATTTATTTTGATCAATTCTCATATTCAAGATATCCCAAAGAATGTGCAAATTGTTTGATCTTCACTATCTGACTTGCTCTACTGTCAAAGCTGGCCTCAACTTAGATTTACTGTATAGAGCGGTCGGACGGATACGCAAATTATCATTGTTGGTATCGGTAACAATCAATCTTCGTCGCGGTAAGAAAACGGTAGGAAAGTTCAGTATATGGCGCCATTGTAAAACGGGGCACTTTGAAAAAAATTCAAGTTTGGGAATTCCTAGAGGAGGTTTCACAACATTCCAGTTTTTCTACACAGCTTTCTAAATTTCAAAGCCTACAAATAGTTTAGTTACATTTTGAGAAACATTCAAGAAAAATTTACATGTGACCTCACTTGTGAAGAAGTGTTAAAAAGGATAAGCTTCATAATTAAAGTCAGCAGTTCTCACTAGTTTAGCGTAAGGGTGTTTAGCCTGTTTGGCTACCTTTCAAAACATTCTTTCATGTTTTTACCGTATTCTTACAGTAATAAACAGCGGTTGTTGACTAGTTCCGTACTGCAAATCTATGTTGGAGCCAGCTCCACAAACTGGTAAGTTCGGCGAAAGTGATTTCAGCAAAACCGTTATTAACAAGCTTACAGAGTGCACATTATGGGACACCCTATCAAGCACTCGTTGCGCCTTGGGAAGAGCAAAAATTTTCGACCACATGTGGAAGTTGATAAAGATGTTCATTCTCATCTGACAGCGAGACTGGATCAATAGATGTTTATTCTCATTATTGAGGACTGGATTGATTTGACAACAACCTTTGCTACATACTTACTGTAATATAACAAAATTTACATACTCTAATATAAAATACTGATAGCACGCTGCGCTTTGATCCTCGAAAAATCCTACTTGACTGTGTAAACTTCCCTTCCGGCTTTGATCACACTCGATATCACAGTGTTATGGGCGGCCATCCTGAAATTTGTATTTACAAAGCATATTTATTAGTCTACAGACAATATTTGGATTTTTTTACTTTATGCCCAAGAAGATCTGTCTTAAAAAAAATTTTTTTGCTTATCCTTAACATCAGAAGTTTTTCTCTGTATCTATGACATTTGGGACCATGATACGTAGTAATAAAAGCAATAAGTGAAACCTAGCAACGTTTTATGTAAGTAGTAGCAATGAAAAAAACTGCTGCAATTCGTTTTCTTTACAAAATGTATTTTGGAATTTGGGACGGTTTCAGGTGAATTTGGTGGAACATCCAAATAAGTGAAGAATTTCGTTTGCAAAAAATGACCTTGTAACTGATTCTGTACTTGATACTCAAAAGCACCTGCAGAGAATTTGAAACGGGTTTTCTTGTTTACAAATGGTTCAGAATTTGCCTTACTTGGTAGCGCTAGAAAGTGTTTAGAGATCGAGGAAGAGCATAACAAGGAACAGGTTTACTTCTTTCCATTACTTCCTCCTCTTTCACTTATTTTGCGATATAGAAGCTAAGAAATCCATATTATACCATTACTTCATGACCAAGGAAATGGGGACTGTAAAATTCCTTTTGCATTGCTTTTCCGTCTTACTTGTACCAGGTATGATCACAGTTACACAACATGGTGTGACCATACCAAATGGCTTCACAAATTTCTAAAGAATTTCATTAATACTGAAACTGGTGTTTTGTATTTCCTCCGTAAGGACGTTCAGCGAACACTCATCAAATTTCCTTGTATGTCAGACGGCAATACTATAAATAAGTTCGTTACTCTTCTTTTGTGGTAAAAGAAAAATTTAGAAAATGTTGGGAAAACAAAGCATGCAGTTGTAGCAAATTTTGATAGAACAAGCAAAATACACAGCTCTGAGACTTTTGAATACAAAAAACAGTAACAGTCTGATAATGAGCAATCATACAGGCCCAATTCCGAAAATTTGCGAAAGAAAAAGAATTTTAGTGGAACCGTCACACTTAGGTGAATCATTCAATCACTTTATCATCATCAGAGTCTGCAATTAGTTTAAGTAAGCCGAAAATAAGAAAAGTTTAATCGAATTTGTAAAAAATTCCCAAACTGACGTGTATTTCTTAATTTCTTCTGGGGATATACTTCATAGAAAAGATTTGTTCAAAACTGTGTATGCTATTAACCTGTATATAATGTGCTTCCAAGAGCTAACACTTGGATCGAGTACGACAAAATCTCCTTTCCTTCCCACACTTATAGCTCCATGAGTTTTTCCTCTTCCCAGTGAGTAGGCAGAATTCAATGTGGCAGCCACAAGGGCTTCTTCCATGCTAAGGTGCATATAAACGCAAGCTGAAATTCGAAATATTTTGGGAGGGGAGAGAGGCGAGAGGGGGAGGACTTATGGTTGCCTCCAGAATTGCCCCACTGAGCCATTCCAGGCCGTGCCGGAGGTGCCAGCGCGATCATCGATCAATATGCGCTGCATCCATATGGGTTCCATCGTGGCGCTGGAACAGCGCTGGCACTTGGCACGGTGCTGGCACGCGCTGGCACGCAAGCTGGAGGCAACCTTAACCTTCTGTGCGCACCTAGATGCATGATCATTGGCATTGCAAGACAATAGGCATTGGGATTGAAGTCCGAACCAAGAGCAACGACCACTCCTAAACCATAAATTATAATTCATCAGAAAAACTATAATTATACATTATGTACAGTATCATGTCACATGTCTTTCGTTTACGAGTTTTGTTATTTGACCTTGGCGAACACCACATACACACATACACGGGGCTGATGAGACAGCACAACCGAAACGAGTTCGCCGGACAAACAACGACCTCGAATGCACCGCAGCGCACACATACACAACATCAATTCGGCGCAAACCGCCAAGGGTTTGCTATGTGTTTTTCGAGAAGTTTCGAATGTTCGCCGGACAGGTTCAATGTCGTGTGGTCACCGACCGCTTTTAATCATTCGTTTCGCTGGCGGAGGGGTCAGCCGAAGAATGAAAGCTGTTGATGGCAGAAGTACGGCGGCAGTGCCGGACTTGGCCATAGCTTCGATGCCTTCGTTCGAGATGTGCTCCAGATGGGACATGGCGCGAGCTCCAATCTCGGCTCCCATCTCGGCTCCACCAATGTTTGTGAGCTCTTCGGCATGGAAGTTTACAGCCAAACCTAGCTTCTTGCCTGCTTCCATAACCTTTCTTCTGAAACCAATTAACATAATATGCAGTTCTTCTTATAGGTGTAATAAACTTACGTGTTCTCAACCTCAACGACGTTCTTCTCGCAGAACGCATCGATATTTTCCAAATTTTTCAACTTTCCAGACGATTTGGCCTTTTCTATGGCTGGCAGCATTTCTTCACAAATAAGTTTCACATGACTTTCTTCTGTTGAGCCCTGAAAAGCCATTATTATAAACGAGGAGAAGAAAAATGAGCTGCAAAACTGGGTTTCAAATTCAAGGGACTCGTCCTCCTTAACATGTATGGAATGGTTGACTACTAAAAGCTGTGCACATTAGTTTTTTCTGATACTTCTTTATTTTTCTGAGTTGTAGAATGATAGATTTCCAAAAGCTGCAGGATTTCGAATGAAACAGTCTCAGACTTTATCAAGAAGTCGTATAGCTCTCACAAGACTTTCAGTGTGACCAAAAGCGCCCTTAATTAATTTGTAGTTAGTTATGGCTAGGTTCAAAATGAAGATGATTTGTATTAAGTCATCTGCACAAGAACCAAAAGCTTAAAACAGGGGCTAGTAAGTAGAGTTAAATTGATCATGCAGAATCATAATAAACCTTTTGAAGAGGCACAAACATGGCATGATTTGTCCTTGAAGGAAAAAATGTGGTTTTTTAAAATTTCTTATATCCCAGGCGCGTTTTCAAATGTGAAAGGGGGTGTTTTTGAGGGTTTTAAAATCAGTGTAAATTTATATACCAGGCTTGAAATATACCTTGGGTACAGCATGTGCGCCACAGAATGTGGCCGATATCTCTAGCGGGGTTTCTTCAGCAGCACGAGAAAGCACGTGAAGCATCTGAAAAATTCCAAAACGGTTTCGAAAGAATGATTTTATTCGAATTTTTTTCAAAAACCAAGTTTCGCTGGGGCTCCACCTGTTATAGGATTATGCCGTAATTTCTCCATAATGTGTAGCTTACTTGAGGAAAAAACACTACAAGAAAATCAACAGAAAAAATCAAACTACAATTTAGCACAAATGAAAAAGAAGTGCAACATTTACTGCGCCCGTTGCAGATTTGTTTCTGGTAGTGAAAATTACACTTGCCTTCAGTTCGCTTTCAGTGTCCAAACCGTAGCCGCTCTTCGCTTCTAGTGTCGTTGTACCACATTTGAGCATTTCTTGAGCAATCTACAAACATGTAATTTTTGCAGAAGACGAACGTAAAAGGTTGTAAAACAATTTGAATTACATAGTCAAAGGTGAACCACCAAATTTCAATGTGATAGAAGTTTACACAAATCTTTGTCGCATGAATTTTTTTTGTGGAAATGTCCTGTCTATTGCTAATGCTTAGCAAAAACCATTTTCTTACCTTTTTGAACTCTGTCAACAAATACTCTTCGGAAGCTTCTCTGGTTTTTGATGTTGTAAAATGTATACCTCCGCCAGCAGCTTGCACCTAAAAATCCAAAGAACATTGAAGTACAAAATTAAAGCTTCTGTACCTCCATATATGTAGCTCCAGCAAGTTTCATAGCAAATTCATGAACACGATCGCCAGCAAAAACAGGATGGGAATGACCATCGATGAAACCAGGAAGGAGAATGCCTAAACACAGCACATGGAAAACTGCAGATTTAAGAATTCCAATTTTTTTCAATCTATCCTGAAGGCTCATTCGGCCACATCTGTTGAACTCGATAGCAATTGGGCCCATAATTGCAAGAGTACGCAGTGAAATTTTACCTCCGCTTGACAACACTGTCTTTTCCACCCCTGCATCTCCTAATATGCTTCTGACCTGAAAGATTAAGAAGTACGGAAAGAATTTGTCAGGAACTACACTGACCTCTTTCTCTGTTCCAACGCCAGCAATGTTGCCATCTGCCGATACCAGTACTGCTAGATCATTATTGGAGCTGTTCAGCACCTAAATAATGTTACGATACATCGTTAGGCCCCGGCCAGACTTCACGCGATTTGATCGTCGCGACTAAATCGCGACGAGACAACTGTTACAACATCATTCCATGCCGATCAACTTGCATTTCGGTTGTGATACTTTTCCAGCCCGAAATTTTCAAATGTGAAATGAAAATAAATGGAAATCACGGCGACTGAATCGCGACGATAAAATCGCGTGAAGTCTGTCCGAGGCCTTAGGACCTCGCACAGAAATTGTCTGAGTATTTTGAAAAATGATGTTATTTTCCTGGAAAGAATAGGGCTGTACCAACTTATGTTAAGCCATCCAGAAGAATTCGAATTCCATCAATTTTATTCTTTTTAACGTTTTTAATTCCGAGAAGCTCAAACCTCGTACTATTAGGTTGTCCTATAAGTCTATTCATATCTGAAATTTTCACCGACATAAGTCAGTTTCTCTTGAACTTCTAGTAGGATGCGAGGTACCATTCAACAGAACAAAGCAAGCTGAAGCGCATTCGAAATTTGCACCAAATGATCTGCATTGAGTTACAAGTTAAAATAAAAATACCGATTAAAAAAAGAAAATAATTATCATAGTTCAGAAGAATTTTGCGAACTGCCCACTCCCTCCAGCATATACTCTCTTTAACGGATGTTCATATGTGCACATGCTGCATTTTTCTGATGGTTGAAAATCAAAAAATAATGCGCTGAATCTTCAAACTCTGCCTGCAGTGGTTCTGTGTTCTTCGCAAATATGTAATTTCAAAGCTTATTCACTCAGAAACGCTGACACAAATTTGCCCCCTCGTCTTGCTCCAATTCTTGAGAAATGTAGATTCAAAGGTTCGAATATAAAAAGACTTGTGGGACAATCAATTAGTTTCATAGCATATCGATCAGAATTATGGTAGCTAAGGGAACTACCTTGTGTCAAGTTCTGATGTTTGTAAAATCCCAACGTGCTACTACCTTACTCCCACCGTTTGTGAGCCTACTTTTTAAGATATCATATCTATGATCAGCACGTGAAACAAGCCCCTGACACAATTTTATATGAAAATGAATAATTAGAAAGGAAACTTCAAAAACTCTATAATGATGTTGAACCCAAAATATCGACCTCGTGCCAATACTACCCTAATCTTACTATAACACTAAGGATGAAAGTGATCGTTATAGCTCCGCTTGTGATGATTATAAGTCTACTTGAGACGCAAGAATATAGAGAAAAATCAGCAAAAAATGCTACACAATATTTTGCCTCCGAGTAAGTAAGCAAATGCAGAAGGAACACAAAATCAAATTTAAATGCAAATACCATTGCTAATCGAAGGCAGTTCTACAGAGCGTGGCGTGTTTGTAGCGCACAGGAGGAAACTTTCGTGTGCAGACTATAGATGATCTATATTGACGCAATTTCTTGAATGAACTATGGAAGCAAAACTGAATAATGAGCGCGTAGGTTGATAAACACAAAAAGTGTCTGATGCAAATAATTACACGGCATCAAATGGTTACAATGCTTGAGACATATGATTAGAACGGTTTTGCATAATAATCTAGCGAAATCTTCAATAATGTACTTTAATGCTAGAAAGAAACGCTATCAGTATTTTTGTCATAAATTCGTGATCTTTTTTTGTACTGGGTTGTTGTTTTGCATGAACTTCTTATCAGTCATGTAGTCGGACTGCACTATCGTAAATAGCGAAAAGCGCACAGGGTTGCACTCGCAAGCTGTAGAATACGACCAATTCTGAGGCAGTACCTTGATTTTGGACATCTCCTCTCCTTTCAGGCATTCTACTTTAGCGCTATCAGTGATTTGCACGATTTCCTTGAGCTGTGTTATTAGTAGACGAAACATCCTGCGAAACATAAGAAAAAGTGAACAAAATGACACAGTGTGAAACGATATGATGATATGGAACTGTACTTTGATGCAAAAGATTCTTCAAATGCTTGGAGAACCAGTACATTGGTAGCAAATTTCTACAAACGTACGAAAAAGCAAATGATTTCCATTACATTCGAAAGTGGCTCAAGAAATGCGGAGTTAAGGTTCTACAAGTGATATTCTTGCACAGCACACATGCGATGGTAAGGTAATAAAAAGGTATCGACGTGACCAGTAGCGATGGCCATTCAACAATAAAAGGAAGGTCGCTCTGCCCGTCACTTCTTTAGAGAAAAATATCTCTACGATCTAAGGAAAAGTTCAGTTCTTAGTATTAATTGGGTAACAGATATTATCAAAACTTACCATCGATTCTGAAAAATGCATCTTTGCATCAATACGGCTGTTCTTTCTACGAAAATCCGTTACTTTACACTCTTAGGAGCATGCGCAATTCATGCAGACTTGCAATTTGCAATTTTGGCATCACAAAAGAATGAGTCAAACGATTGTCAATATTTCTCAAATTCTTATGAAGGCGGTAAGGCCGATAAGTACTAGTCAAGTATGAATTCCAACAATTGACGTCCTTTCTTTTCCTAGATAAATATTCTGCTGCATTTTTTGGTAGCTGAATTACCCATGTTTTCCCAACATTCTCAATTTATCTGATGGAACTGATGGATGAGAATGTACTACTGCAAAATGGCATTCTTCTGCATTCTATGTAGGTAAATAGTAGTAAATCGATAACTGTAATGTTTACAACCCTTCTGGCTGTTTCATGCTATCAATGAAGAACGTTCTATCCCAGTGCGACATGTAGAGGTCACCAGTTCAAGTCATTACTCATTTGATTTCGTTTTTTATAGGCATTTTCAGTTTTCTTTTTTTTCTGTGGTATGAAGACAGAAAGAAAGCTCTCAGACGAGCACGAAAACTAAACTTGAGATCTTGCTTGCTAAAGAATGCAGTGCATAATCAGTGGAGAAGTCTGAGCAAAAATTTTCTACTGAAAAATCATTCTGATTTGTTGGATAGTATTCTTCAGAGGAGTATTCTGAAGATCTAAGGAAGCATAAGTAGCAAAAATTGCTCACAAATGCTTTGCTATATGTGATGATTATCTGCTGGTTATAAAAAGACGTAACCAAATCAAAGAAAATATGAGCCAGAATGAAGTCAGAAAATTTCAACAACTACATGAACTTCAATCAAAGTTCCTGTCATCTCTAACTCTTTGAAGGGTAAAACAAAGTTATAGAATGAGTCTGAGATTCTCCGTCGTACTGTATGTGAATTCCAAGCTTGGCTCAGTAACTCTTGGCTTCAGTTACTTGGCCTTCAAAGACATGAAAAAACGGCTACTGATACACAAGTAACTTCGCAGATTTTTGTTTTTGACAGAGTACCTTCTTCAAACGCAGCTGGAATTGCAATACTGAAGATATGGAATTACGAATTGTTATAAGTGCTGGCTCGAAAACTCCACTCCTTGCAAGTAGCCAGGAAGTGTAGTGTCTTAAGCTTTGCTGCTACCGCGAGTATTATGAAAACACGTTTTTTCTCTATGTCCTTTTCTTTTGTGCCTTTGGAGCATCTTGCTGCACATAATTGCTGAACCTTAGTTTTTCGCAATGTCTATCGGGATTTGCTTTTTGATTTTTCACTCCAGAGCTGATACTGGTAATTATGCTCAAAGGAAAGAGACGTGTAGACCTATTTGCACAACCGTAATGCTGTAGGAACACTTCCATAGATCGCCGCAGAGCGCGGCTCCCTCTCCGTACCTGTGCTTTTTATCTGAGGCCTCGGACATACTTCACGCGATTTGGCAATACTCCAATTGTTTAAAGACATCGTATACGCATTCTGAATGCACACAAGATAGGGCATTTTATTAGTGTAAGAAGATTATACAGGCTATACATGTTTTGCAAGTGTTGCATTTGACGGCATATGGCAAACTGCCACATCGCGCGGCTGAAATTGCATGAAGTAGATATGCTCGGGGCCAATGGATCGGCCGTACGACTAGCAACCCTGACAACAGTTGCCAGCAACGCATGGCCGATTTCTGAGCAAAAAGAGAGGGGTTTCTCTAAATGCGCAACGTGTTTAGACAAATAGACAGGATGGTTAATTGGGTATCCCCACCATCGCAACAGAGATTTCTAGCCCGCGTCTTCTCAGACACTGCCTTGAAGGCAGTGCTAACTCCATCGGAGATATAATGAACGCTGAAAGGATCTTCTCGGTTATATTAAGTTCTATCTACCTGAGAATCATGTGTTCCACGCCGCCTTGCCCTTCTAGCATTATAATCATAGCCGTTGGAAGCCGCTCTACAGTGAGCCGGCGCAAGAACTCTGCCCTTTCCTGCAGTCTGCTGCAAACGCGAGAAGCTGTACAAAACATACTATTGATTACAGCTCTCTTCATAAGTGAGGGATAGGCTGAGCGGAAATGCACCAAGATTTTTCGTTACTGGGTTTATGGTAGCATTTTGTTGTACATCTGAGCCGATATTGAAGTGCAGGTTTGAAATTGGTAGCCACTCCTACTGAATTTTTCCCTCGTAACTTGATGTATGCAGAGTGCTCGTTAAGTATCTCGAAACGACTACCATCTCTGCGTGGGTCGAACAGACTATGAAACAGTCGTCAATGTATCTGCAATATAATCTGTATCTGCAACACAAATCATCGACTTTTATAACTGCTGATGGAACTCCTCAGATTGTTTACAAAAAATGTGCCACTCAGTTAGCGACTCCTGTTTCAATACTAGTCAACATGTCGTTGAGCAGTGGTGAATTACCCAGAATATGGAAACATGGGAGAGTCGTACCAATTCCTAAAGTCCAGAATCCGCAAAAAGCTTCTGAGTTTCGACCTACAAGCATTAACTCTGTGGTCTGTAAGGTTACTGAGAAGATTGTGAAAGGAAAATTGTGTACATTTTGTGTACAAAAGCATCTCATTCCACCAAAGCAGTTTGGGCTTATGGAAGGATCTTCCACTACCCTTTAATTGATTACTTGCGATTTCTACTAGAAAAGAGCTCTGGCACAAATCGTCTTACTGATGTTCTTTATTTTGATTTGTCCAAGGCTTTTGACAAAGTAGACATTCATAAAGTAATTGAAAAACTGTATTCAGTTGGGATACACGGAGTTACGCTAAAATGGCTGACATCTTATCTAACTGATAGAACATTCTCCGTACGCTTCAACTCAGCCATCTCTTCTATCTTCTCAGCAACCAGTGGAGTGACCTCAGGGTGGTGTCTTATCCCCTATTCTTTCAATATTTATACAAGTGATTTACCAGGGCTTTTGTAGGTTGACCGGAGAATTAAAGTCATGGCGTACGCAGATGATTTAAAAGTTTTTGCTTCGTACTCCGATAGTGCCTTGAGTACTTGCCTTCAGAAAATTTCATCATAGGCAGCTTTGGATTGTATCGATGTCAACTTACGTAAAAGTGTGTGCTTGACCATCACTAAAAGGCAGGTGCAATAGAACAAACTTAGAGAGTATACTCACTCCAACATTTCTCTGACTAGGCCCGTGATTGTAAGAGACCTTGGATTATTGATGGACCATAAGCTCCTGTTAAGATCTCACATTGAGAGTGTGTCGCGTGCAGCCGTAACAGAGTATTCCTTCTATTGAACTTGAAGCATGCAGACTTGCGAGCATATATCAAGCTGTATATGGCCTATGTTCCCCCCCCCCCCCCCCATTAGAGTATGGTTGCCAAGTATGGAATCCTCACTTGAAAAAAGACATTCTCACCAGTGATAAAGTTTAAATGGTTTTCACTCGTGTACTATATTACAGATTTTTTCCAAACGAGGATTACCCGTATGCCCTTCCCTCCATAGGTGTAGGCTGGGCCACCTGAAGTTGCACAGTTTGCTTTATCGAAGGATTTTGGCTGACTTGGTGCTTGGTTTCCAAATAATGCGCCTTGAAACAAAAATAGTGTCTAGTGTATTCTGGGTTTGGAGACCGTGCAACGGTCGAACAGGTGGGTTTTGCTTTCATTGCGTTGACTCTACTACTCCAAGTACGCTCTTCTACCACTCGTTTTTTGCGCGCACATCTGGTTGGTTGCAAAAGCTTCCTGATACAGTTCTCTCTGTTCCCAATTCAAGCGTTTTCCGAAAGACTCCTTAATTTTGACTTTTTGAGATTGCTGGGGTAGATGAATCTGAGTACTTTTGAGATGCACTTTCTTGTCTTACTGTTTTTTTTTGTTTACACTTCGAATTCTATCGGCTTTTCTCTGCCCCCTTCTTTCAGAGTGTGGAGTTGCCCAGTCTCGCGCTGGCTATTCTCCTCACTGTATTTTCCACTGCTCCTTGGACTTCATTTAGGAAGTTAATCGCCCTTTTAACTCACTTATAGGCGCCGTAAAACCTAATTGCCCGCGCCGTGCCTTGGACACCAGCGTAAGCGAGCGGTCGTCGCGAATGACTGTCGGCGTTCACTATATTCCAAAAAATCTTTCTTTAACTTTCATGATGTTATCGTCAATGCAAGGTAAATCTCGAAGAAAGCCCCCCTCAAAAGTTCAAAAAAATATGTGTGGAAAGGACGCGCGCTCATTGTCGCTCGAAAAAAGCCTTAGCGCTTCGGGACCAAACGTTTCTAGCCGCGCCGCGCGTTGGTGTTCAAAGCGACGCGTGGGCAATTGGGTTTTACGGGGCCTGTATATTGTCTCGTCTTTTTGATTTCAGAGGTTCTTGCATGGCTGCCTGTACCGATCAGTCTACACAGCTTTGCTGAACTTGTCTACGTTCCCTTTGCCTAAATCGGCTATTAACATTTGTTGTTCTGTTTTCAGTTTTTCGTTATATGGGCTATAGTATAGCACTAGCTGGCTTACCCGGCTCCGCCGTATGTTCCAAATAGAAAATTCCATTTTAACCGATCCGGACCAAACTTGGCACACATACACTACGGGCCCCGGCGGGTGTCACAGTCCACTTTTCGTTATCGATCGATGTCGATTTTATCGATTTTTTGCAAAATTTGAGCTAGGGGCTGGAATTTGGCAGAGGGGTATAATCGAGCATGCTGATCACCCCCACGGCAATTGTGGGGGCTATTCGTCCCATGGCTAATCTTCTAATCTGCGCAAAGGTACCTCCTAGACCATCTAAAGATGTTGTATTGTAAATTCGCCTTCGAAAGTGTCATGAGCTGCGAAACCAAGAGCTCGTAAAGATTGACATTATTTACTTCAACGGTAAGAAGTTACGAAACAGCTGGGATGGCGCATTCGTTGCTTGCACCGGTGTAAAGCACACTAACATCAAAAGATCACGTGACGCAATTGCGATCCATGCTTATCTCGCGCAAGCGGTCCAAAAACATGTTAGTAATGGCCAGAGAAGGGATGAACTTTAGTACGCGAGTATAGAATAAACAAACCACCCAATTCTATCCGTAGGCCTTCCCAAGCAGATAATTATGTTTCGCACTTTGTACGAGGAAGAATCGATGGAGGCCAGATCGAATTCCGACTGGAGCTTGTGCGTCTTGATAAAAAGATATAATGCAGGGCAGACAAGGAGCTCGCTCGATTTTTAGGCGCGCGATGTGCCTTGCGGTGTATTGGCAGCTTTCGCTATTTTGACCCATGCCCTGTTTAGCCTGCGACACTGATTTTAGAATTCGTCGAGAGACGATGGTTGATATAGCGATATGTCTTGAAGATGGACTTCCGTTATCGCAACATCCAATTGGCGAAGCATAACCACGAAATCACCTTCTTTGACTCTTCTAGTAGAAAGTCTTGCCCTGAACTTGCTATGTTGGACCTGTTTTATGCCCTGTTTTGGGGGGGGGGGGTCAGATTTGATTGCGTATGATTCTCGAAACCGTCTGGATATGGTCCATGCAGCTGAATGTCTTCAAGGTTTGAATAATGGTGCGCACTTTAGCAGGTAGAATCTTTAGTGGTACTTTTCCTATGTGAACAAAGTGCATCGCCACGGGTGCTGATGAGCGGAAGAAGTTGGTGTAGAAATCCTTCGCGAGAGATTCCTTCTTATATCGGGGAAGAAACCGGGATCCCGTCTTTGTTCTATAGTGCAGCTTCCGCCACGTGATATCTGCAGAGGTCCTCTTGGCACTTCTGAAAACTTCGTCTTTTTGCTGCTGTTTCCAGTAACTTAGCTTGCCTGTACTTCCTGAAATCCTCCTGAAAGCTGTTCCGCGATTGGCGCTGGCTATCAGTTTTTCGAGATGGGTTGCATTAGAATCCTGCCTCAAGGATGATCTTCTTTCGAGTAATTCCTTGTGGTGTTTTACGCGTTACAAATTCTTCGCGGAAATCACTGAGGCGCACTCTCGCAAGCTCGCAATCCTTCCAAGCAGTCGTAGTCATATGCTGGGCCAGTCACAATTTAATACAAGATTTTTCGATTTGTCACCGTCAAAATAGCTTCTTCCTTCTTGCGGAACTGTGACACACCTTCTTTCCCGGCTTCCGACTAAATCGCATCTTCGCTCGAAGGAGAAGGAGCCGTGCAAAACAAAAACAACTACCGAGATATTGAACAAGCCCCACTCTCGAATAGTGAGAATGTGGTCCCCCGTGAGTCGTTCCGTTGGACAAATTCCAGTTGAACACCAGCGATATTCCATCTTCATAAAGATGGAATCTTGCGAACGACCTCCTCCACGTCTTCGCAGAAAGCATCTAGTTCTGATTCGTCAGCTGCTGATGTTGGGGAGTAGCAGCTAATAATGCTGATTCTTCTGACGAGAACGATAGTTGTAGGAAGGCTAGTTGAGGTAACAGGGACTTCGTAATCGACAAGGTGGACGATAAATGGGTGGACGACAAAGCCAATACCTTCAACATTTGGTGTTAGAACTTTCTCACCACGATGAAAGTCTCGCTACACAACTGTCGCAACTCCTTCTTCTGGGGCTTCATTTCTTGCCGAGCGATGACGTGGTACTTGAAGTGCTCTGCAGCACTGAGAAGACAGTGTACTCAGACACTCGCTGCGGCGGCGCGCGCGCCAAGTGCGCGCGGGCGCTCATATCCCCCGCCGCCGGCCGTCAAATGGCGCGCGCGCCGCGAGTAATTGGAACGCGCGCCGCGAGTAAATGGTGCGCGCGCCGCGAGTAAATGGTACGCGCGCCGTGAGTATATGAGACGCGCGCCACACGATAATGGCACGCCGCTCGCTATAGGTCGGCGTTTATGGAAACTGTCATGATGTTGTGGGCGCAGAGCATACGGCACTCTCTCCGGCGTGTTGTCCGATCCAAAACGCCCTAGGAATCATGTCTTGATTTCCACGGGGCGATCATTAACTCGAGGGGGGGGGGGGGGGAGCGGGGACCGCTTAGCAATCAAAGAAGTCAGATGGCGCCGGGGTCTGCCCGTCTGCTCTTAGCCCTAAGGCATACCTCACGCGATTTTAGCAGCGCGATTTGGCACTACAACGACTTTCCATAGCTGGTCATAAACGCATTTTGCTTGGGCCTGACTTGCTGTGTTTGTTACAATTTAGGAATCTACGCGCTCCATGGCGTTGATTCCGAATATAGAACTCAAAAACGTGAATTTCTCAGACCACCTTTTGGGGCTATTCTGGGAAAACCCGGACGAGTGCTTGTGATGTTATCCTTGTCGAAAGCAAATATCAACAGGTAAACGCTGTAAGTTCGACTGTGTCGATCATGTGAAAACACGTCAAGGCTAAGGAGATCTCGTTCATAAGGGGTTGGTCGTCCAAGGGAAGTGGGCGTGGTCGTCGAGCTCGGATCTGCCTGGACGCTGCCTTTAAAGGTAGTGTCTCACCAAAGTTGAGATCGCGCGGATCTTCACATATTCTATTATAAGGACCTCTGAATAGGTCATTGCAACAAGTCCCACTCAATTTGACCCCTCCGCTAAGAAAAATTCGCTCAAAGTGGTACGCGGAGAGCGATTTGGTACGCGCGGACAACTCCTTCGGTCTCCTCCACGCGTTTGAACATGTCCCTTCACTTGGCATGCACCTCCCCTCTGTTGCCGCCACTGTGGCTGAGGCTGGAGTTGGAAGGTACAACTTGTCCACGTTGCTCCCGCGGGGCCTCCGGAAAACCGGGTTTTTGGGAACTTTGCGTGATTTTAAGCCCATACAGGGCTAGACAGGGCCCGACAGGCTTGCAAAATGCAAAAATCTCGGCAGCTAAATTTTGGTGAGACAATGCCTTCAATCTCTAGACATCTGTCAAATAGCCAAGTCGCGAGGATGTGGCGATTCGCGAAATCGCGAGAAGTATGCCTTAGGCCTTAGGGCAGCATCCGGCTAAAACCTGAAATGAACTCCTTCACAGCTTGAAGGCCCTACCAGAGTATGCACTCGCCTGCACAACGCATTCGACACTCAAGGCCACTCCCATGCACGTTGAAGCAGGAACATAGTGGGGCACATTGTTAGTAGGAAGTCTTCGAGAAATCAGAGAAATTAGGTACATTGTGAGCAAAGAATGTTTCTGTTCCAAACTGCTCTAGCAAATTTACAACTAAATTTATGTTTAACAACAATCTAGGTCAACAGACAAATAAATTATTACATAACCGAGAAAAAAGTGGACATACATATCACACGCAAAGACGGCCCATAAGAAAAATTTGCAGAACCAAAAGCTTCGATTCAGTACCAGAATTGAGAGAGCAAGACCAGATGAACTAAACATAATCGAGACTGTTACCACAAAGTTCGGAATTTCCCGCAAATCCTGAATACACGATAACAACAACAACCACTCTTTTAGGCAGCGAGGAGCTAGGGCGTAATTCTTCGGCAAGATCAAGCCGTGAGTTTCTTGCCTTTAACTATGGTTGGAGGATTGAGAAGCACTCCCCGCTTATTTTTACCCTAAACAAGATAATGACTTTCTAGTGTGCAATGATATTTCGACCTCACCTTCGTAATCTTCTTTGGTGTGAAAGGCACCACCCTTTCTTCATCCTTGATCCTTGGTCGATTTTCAGGCTTCTTCACCTTGTAGATTCGCACAAGCCAATTCTCAGATGTAAAGGCTTCTTCAATATGTTCCAATGTGATGTCCTAATTTATTTCGAATCAAAGATCATCAAAGTTCAGCAATCTCGTAGAGTTACCTTCTTTCCTATCACATAACCCCTGGTCCTGTCAAAACCGTCCTGATTGTAACCCATACGTACTTCAGCAAAGCGATAGTACGACATCTTGTACATCATACAGTTCAACATGATGTCGGACGCTTGAGGTCCAACGCTGTATTCCCCAGAGTCGGTGAAATAGTTGGCTTCCTAGAAGATATCCTAACTTGTAGAGAAATTCCTCAAAAAAAAAATCAGTGCCAGATCACTATAACGATCTACCACATCAGCGCTCAATTTCGTAGATTGAAAATGTCAGAAAGATATCAGTTAGACTTAAATTTAGGGAAAAGTTGATTATTAACGAATAGTTTGACCATACTTTTTACATGTATGTTCAAATCACTACCGTAAACGACAAAAAGGCCTTCCGGAAAGAAATCAACAAGACAGTCGTGATCAGTAAATGGCTCGTCATACTTCGCCGAAAATAGCCCGAAAGCGCCCAAAAAAGCCCGAAAAAGCCCAAAAAATCCCGAAAGAGCCGAAACGCCTTTTCCGTTTTGACGGTAAAGCATGTGTGTTGATTTCGTAACCGAGTCTTTTTGCTTCATTTCCTATCGTCTGCACATCAAATAATGTCAGAATTCTACCAAAAGTTCGAATCTGTGTTCCGCCTCTTTCGGGCTTTTTTGGGCTCTTTTGGGCGCTTTTAAGCTTTTTCCGGCGAAGTATGACGGGTCCCTAAGCTACCATAGCCTCCTCCTCTCCCCTCACTATGACTATCCAGCAAAAAATTATCATTTTTATAACAAGAAATTAGTTTATAATCTAGAAAGAACTAACCTTGATTTCTTTTGGATGCTCCCCTTCTGCAATACGAACCATCCATAGGAACTTGTTGATATCATCTCCAGAATATCCAATGACACCACCGAATATTATGAGTACGTAGTCAACATCCAAAGCGTTCATAATTTCGTAGGCGGCAGACTCGTTAGATGACATTGCTTTTCCTACCTGCAACAGGAGTTTGAAAAAAATTAATACAATCACACTTTTAGAGCTTACCAAAGCAATATGAGAGTTATTCCAAGTATTATTGTCTACTAGAGTCGTCCTGTTCGCCATTCCAGCAATTTGGTATCCGTAATCCCACCATGACATGATTCTCGCATCATCAGCCGTGTTCTCACGAAGCCAGTGGTAAGCTTCTCGGAAGTCGTCCATAATGATACGATCACTAAAGATGCAGATAGAGATGCATTTGCCCACAGGGCCAAATCAAGCATTCAACTTACCCATGACTATTTGAACTTTGCAGCACAACAGAAGGATGCGAGTAGGCATTGCTTGTCACGTACGTGGCATGAACAACGAACATGAGAAGGAACAGCACAAGAACAACGCTGACTAGTGATCTGGAGTTCACACCAACACCGTCTTCGGCAGATTCCGAAGAAGAAGCAGTCTAAACATCAAGCAGAAGTAACTAATGATAGACTGTTTGGAACACATGAACAACTAAATCGACAAGTTTTTCCCTTCGCCTAGAGGAACACTTGAACCGAGCGAGAAAAAACAAAACAGAAAGTCGGTATATTTTCAATAAACTTATTTGAAACACAGAAAGAAGCACAAAGACATCACAGACACTCACACCAACTACAGAAACACCCATCTCTACCTTTCCTTTCTTCGACACCTTGTCGTACATTTGACGATCCGACTCGGATTTCGTAGAAGACTTCTCATCATCACGAAGGTATCTGTAGAGCTAGATGATTAACAGACATCGCACCTGTCGTTACCAGCAGCAGAACATAAATCGTTTTAGCTCAGTTACATGTTAGAGTACTCAAAAGGGAGAAAAAAGATCAAAAATTTCGAATTTGAAGCAAAGCTTACTTCTCGAATGTATATGAGAACGCGATTCCAGAAAGGACGCATACAACTGGAGTGAGTGTTAGCATCAGTCGAACCATCACGCCAGCAAAATACACAGCTGAGACTGCGTACAAAATAACTGTAATAAAAAAACATCATGCCAACACTCCGCAAGCATGCAAAGCAACACAATGTAAACTGCACAATATTCTATAATTTAACAAATGGAAATTTTGAGTTTGAGCAGCTAGATAAACTGTAAAACTAACTGAACACTCGTTCATCATTCACATTCTTCACGCAGTACCACAGTCCAACAGGGAAAACAGCCGCTGTGATGTGAAGATCAAAGAAGAACGACACCCAGGTGGTAGGCTGATGTTCAGATACAGAAGCGATGATGGGAATGTGAATCTTTAAAAGAGTTAGTAGAGCATGGGCGGTACTGTCATCTCTCACTGCTATACCTTGGCATATCCAGTATCCCAGAGCGAGTAGAAACGACCAGAGAAAGGAGCAACGTATCCTGAAATTCAAAAGCTGAGGATTTGTGAAAGGTGGATAGTCTCTTATTTGCTATTCCAGAAAAATTCCGTTTTTTACTTTTCATAGTACTTTCCATAAACGAATACTACAGTACAAACACTAAGCAGCATCATGAATGGGACTTGACATCGTATACCCGTGATCATTCGAAATCTATGAAGGGCCTAACAAAAACATTTTCTGTTTACTAACCTCCCCAGACAAGAGCGAAGTAAACGATAACAGCTAATATTCCAACGACTGTTAGACCACCGACGAATAGAGTCATGAACTGCTGACGTGTAATACGAGGTCGAGCGTATTGCATAGCGGCAACGATCTGAAAATGAATAAATTACAATTCAGTGGTCACAATTCACAGTTTGAGTGAAACATGCATGAGGTTTGCTTTCAATTTACCTGAAGGATTCCGAACACTCCAAAAGCGGGCATGTGCTCGGAAGTACGAACAGGTTGGAATCCGACGAATGGAATTTGCATGGAAAGAATAGTTGCCAAGCAGTAGAATGTGGTATAGGCAACAAAAAGCCGAGATGAATAACGTCCTGAAGAGCAAATGGATGTAAAAAAGGAATGATATTATGAGAAGAGAATCGGCTTACCAATAATAATGAGAGCCAGTACATGAAGCGGAATGAGATTAATAATAAAAACGTATCCTCCCCAAGCGGAAACCATGTAAAAATATGAGAGGGCGCAGAAGGATGCCCACATAACGGAACCAGTCTTCAACGATTTTACCCATAGATAGTACGTGAACTGAAATTTACTTGTGTAGTGAAAACTTGATAATTTGATATTCCAAAAAATATAGGAGGATCAGCCATAAATTAGAGTCAAAAAATTCTGAGTTTTCGCTTTGGGAATCAGACAAACCGAATTCTCATTAGAAAACGCTTGAAGTGGAAATCTATCTGGGAATAAAAGCCAGCTTTACAACCTATAAAGATGACTAAAATAACAAAAAGAGAGTACACTTGCGTACCTGGAGCGCAAAGATAGCGATACCCTCGTTATCGTAAGATCCCGCAACTGATCGACTTGTGTATCCAGGTGATATGGCGATAAAGCATGCAGCAAACAATCCTGTAGATTTAGAACTTTATATTTACGAAAAATTTTCAATTATGTGACAGTCAACCAACCGGCTCCAGCAGACCACAGTTCTTTGGTTAGCAAATAGGTGGCAATAGCCGTTAGACCCGAGAAGGTGGGCGCAAGGAATACGCAGATCTCCCTAAAATCATCCTCTTCTCTACCATATTAGTAACTTCATAAAAGGCACAATTCCTTTACTCAGACTTGGTGATACTAAATAAGAAAGCCGGATCATAGCTAGTCAGAAAGCTGACCTGATGTGTACGTGGAAGTTCAGTGAGTCCAGAATCCAGTGTATTGTACCAGAGGTCAGCATCAAACCGGGATAAACCTGAAAATTAAATTGTTCAACAACTATGTGCTTTCAAAGTGATGGTTTAGACATACTGTTCCTCCAACAATTCGTCCGAGTGGGTACCATGCTCGCTCATCAAACCAGTTTAGAAAGTTGTAGTACCCATGTTCTACCATGTAAGCAGTAGCGCGGTAGTTGAACCTGAAAGAAGTGTTCATAGAGCAAGCATTTTAGCAGAGCCAAAGAAAGCAATGACCCACCATGGATCGAACTCATGAATGATGGACTCAAATCGGACAATGGCGAAGAGCCTCGAGGCAAACCCTACAAACCAGGCCAAGGCTAGGATAGCGAACGTCAAAAGGGACGTCGCTCCCAGGGTATTGCCCCGGAGGAACTCAGCCACCATTACCTAGAACAATCGCACTCATATGAACTGAACGCAAATTTCAAAAGCGCCTTGAACCCGAGAATGTAAAGAAAAACCAACAGAAATCATTACAAATATGAGACGACTTTAAACCAAACGACAACGAACATTCCAGATATCAGAACATGTACAAACTCGCTTCTCAAACTTGAAGTTAGGTGAAGAACCCGAAAATGAGACGGTAAATCAACAGAAAAACGAGCACGACTTCAGACGACAATAAACAATTTGTACAACAAGTAATCTTCACAAAACGTTCGTAAAAATAACCAGTCACATGCAACACTTCATTAAAAAAAAGATGACACGTTCCACATTAGAAATGATCAAATGTTTATAATGTTGACTAGAATGTTACGGAGTACATAACAGGATGGAGATAAGCTGCCAGATAGTCCAGATCTCAATTATTATTTATCTGGAAGAACCAGCTAACCTCGAGATATCACACATGGGTTTTCCTCAGATTCATGGCTAAAGCTGTTTGTGACACCACCGGTACCTACTCCAAGACCGTCTTACTTTCAGTTATAACTTTTCTGAGAAATGACCTCAAAGAATATAATCATTTAAGTGTAGTTAAGGCTGGGTTCATACTGATTCGTAAGTTTCGGAACAGTTTCAGCACGCGTACACTATGAGCGTGTGCTACTGTTCAGGAACCTACGGATCAGTATGAACCCAACCTAAGGTCGAACTACGTTAACCACCTGCTCATTTCCACTGATGTGGACAATTTTTGAATAAGGGCAGAAAAGTCACAATTTCCATACCGTCCTTGATTGCCCCATGTTTGACCCCTTCTGTGTTTACTGATAAGCGCACTGCATTCTAGGGTAAACACCCGAAAAGCTTCATAGTAAGGGCGATGACTCAAGATTCGACTCAAATTATCAAATATCTTTATATGTCCATCGCTTAGAATCCTCATAATATCGGCGTTTGGATATAAGCAGGTCATACTACATGTGTCAATATGCGCGTGAAGCAATTCAAAAGTGCATTCATGGATGCCACAAACTTTTCCAAGCAAATACCGATTCACAATGACCTAGCACGAAACGCACTTCGCCAACGATGCGCTATCGAATTACTAGCTAGCAACAAAGCTTCTCATAGCTGCTGAAAAAATGGCGAGATGCAGCCGTAAGGAACCGGTCCTTTCAAGCAAACACTTCCTTCGTTGTAGCCTTTTTGGTGCCGAAATAAAGCTCAACCGCTGGCAAAATTCTCTTGAAAAGAAGATCCAGGTAGATAGGGTGGTCGAGAACACTAGCAACTTTGATCTGCTAAAAACCAAACAGACAAAAAACAAACAATAAATCGTAAGCCCTGGCTCTCAGCCAAGTTTTGAACAGAAAGTATTCGTACATGAAAACACAAAGCCGATATAAAAACGATAAAATTCAAAGATAAGATACAAAAAGACAAAACCCGATAAAAACATTGCCTTCTATCCAATCCATGCCTAATTTTACCTCATCCTTAGACATTGTCGCTGCCTCGAAATTCAAGCGATGAAGAAGCCGCGGGACGAAAAGCTACCGAACTGCAGAGCTTTGAACTCGATTTGATTGCCGTGGCACACGTTTGCTCAGCCTTTAACGGGAATCGCGGCGGGACCGGTGACAACGAGTCCGACAAAGCTCACCGACGGTACTCATTGAAGAGCTGAAACATCAGTGAATTATCGAATTAGTCATCTGTTAGAGCCTTGTGAGTTTATTTATCTTATAGAAGAAATTGTTCGCTATTGATCTGTGCGAAGAATCCTGCTGTTATGTCGTTTTTGGGGGCATTTGCGGGTTCTTTTCGAATCTGATTGTTTCCTTGTTTTCTTTTCCCTGTTTACATGCAAAATTTGTTCATGAATCAATTTTATACTGTCCCTTGCAGTAGCGCGTGTGAACGTTTGTGTGCGCTGCGTGTGTCGTCGCTCATGCTCGTATGTGCTGAGCTGTCGAAGCACAACGACAAGAATGGGCGTAACTGGAATCTGGGAACACATGCAGAAATACGCCGAACAAGTCCCCACATCAACACTCAGGAACAAGACCTTAGCTATCGGTAAGCGCGTTTTGACGACTTTTTTCATCGTTCTCTAAAAAAACCAGACGGCTATGACCCGGTTCCTGTTCCTGAAATGTGAAGCGATCAGCTGGCTTTGTGGAATGGCCTTGAAGCCGGTAATGTGTGCGACTGGGTATGTGTGTGGACATTCCACCAAGGTTTTTGTAAAGGACGCACATTGCCGCCGGAGCTAGCCCATCCAAGTCAGGTTTTAGTCGCGCATTTGTCGCAAAAGCTGTGCTCTTAGGACTTTTAAGTCCGCATGCTTGTGGGAAGATGGGAAAGAAGACGGGGATCTGGTTTATTCATTTGCATCTGGTTCTCTGTCATCATCCAGCGCACATCACCAAAGGTTGTATCACGAGAATCGACCCAGCAGATGTACAGGGTGTCCCAAAAGTAAGTGCACACTTTTTGGTCGTCAATAACTCTCTTCCTACTAAGTCTTTTCCTTAGCTTCAAGTACCATTCAGGGGAGGCTCCAACTTAGATTTGCATTATCGAGCGAATCACCTATCGCCCCTCACTACTGTAGGATTACGGTAGGAACTTTGAAGAGAGTTTTAGGCCGTATATGTGACTACATACTGTTTAGAATAGAAACTCAACGGTTCGAAGACTCTATCATTAGGCTAAACTGAGTCGTTGATTATTAATATAAAATTTGCACCTTATTGTAAGGCTTTTCTCACGAGTTATGCCAAGTAAACCGCAACGACTTTTTGCAGTGTTTTTCAAAAATGTTGATTGCAGAATACAAAATTCTTAGAAACTTATAACTAGTTTTCTGATGAATTCAGCATGTCTGAAGCAGCACTTCTTCACAACTTTCCCAATTTCTTGGAACTTTTTGTCAAGCAGCTTATTTCACAAAGCTGCTGTATGCTCGAAGTTCCTACCGTAATTCTACAGTAATAAAGGGCATGGCTGATTCACTCCATACTCTAACTCTGGTTTGAAGCCTTCTTTACTGAATGCTACTTGAAGCTAAGGAAAAGACTTAGTGGGGAGAGGGTTATTAACGATCAGAAAGTGTCTTACTTTTCGGACGCCCTCTATTTGCGGCTGCTGTGTCGACCGCCACGCTAGCAGTTGGGCGGTTTTTGCAGCAATATATTGCACAGTAGGTTTGACGCTTAGTATAGTGCCCTTACAATACCGATATTTGCCGACAGCATTTGCGCGTGAGCAAATTGCTTTGCTTGTGGCGGCAGCTTGCGCGTGCGAAATGGTCGCAGAGTGCACATCTATGACTCTTGCGCCCACACAATTTGTTCACGCGCAGCTGTTGCCGCTAATGTTGGCACCGAAGACTACTATATCAAACGTCAGATCTTCTAGCCTATACTTTTCGTACTCGACCACGCAGTAGGCGTGTCTCAGTAGAAAGCGGAGGATGACGATTAGGGTGGAGCAGGTCTTGCTGATATGTGCGTTTACACATTCCAGCATGATCGGTGGGACGCAGGTTACCAGGGTAGAAAATGCTTGACTTCTTATCTCACCCTTCGCAAAGTGTATTTTGCGTGAATATCAATGAAAACCAGGAAAAATCTAAGGAAAACAGTAGATGGGGTTCAAGCCCTATTTTCTCCCTGGAAACCAGCGATCCTTGCGGTGCCAAGGTTGGGCGACCGATTCTGTGCGCGAATAAATAGTACCCCGGCATTTCGCATGCAAGTTGCTGGCATTATAGGCTTAGCTATTTGTTTACGCGCAAACTTCGTCACGCATTCTCGGCTTTGCAATGACACTATGAATTATAGCGCAAAGCGGTCATAAATCTTCAATCTTGACCTCACCGTTATCTATCTTCTAATATATATCTTTTATCTTCTAATATATAAAGAACTAGCGACCCTGCGGGTCGCTACAAGTGGAGTGAAGCACATGTTTAGAAAGTCCGTGCATCTCAATGACATCTTCCTGCATTTTATTTTACTTGAAGAAAATTTGCTCCAAGGTAGATTCCTTATCGGGTGGAAGCATCTGAAAAAGTTTTCTGGACTGATACTCTACCCTGAACTTTGAGCCTTTTTATTTTGCGGGACTCGTCAATAACTCGCTTTTCTACAAATATAGGTGAGGTTTCCCCATGAAAACGTCTACAAAGCAGATTTTTGATGAGATATTGCAAAATCTGTGGAATAAACGCACTTCCCGAAAAGGTTCCTCCATGGCCTCCATCAATGAGATCCTCACTCACACGCTTCGTTTTCAACAAGAAAGAACAGAATTTCCTCAACACGCGCTCTCAGACAACTTTCTTCTACGGATTTTGCAATACGGCGACACCAAGTCACCCCCGGTAGTGACCTCTCTAAAAAGTCAGCCGCCATCGAACAACGATACCCTGTTACTCTTTATGTTTTCCTTATACAATTTTTTTGGACCCTTCCCTTCAATCATCGACCAAATTTTGCCATTTGTGTACGATAAAGTTACCCGCTATAATCTTATGGGAAGCGTTGGCTCCACCAGCCAGTCTCAATCATCAAGCTCTCCTTCATACAAAATAGGAAGATCTTTCGAATGACCGTACTCTCTTCAAAGAAAAGCAGATTTTTCTAAATAGGCGCTCGTTTCCAACCGCCTTTCGTACAGGATAATAGATGCTTTACCTAGCAGAAGCTCATTTTCACCAGCTCGCCAGCCAGACCCACTACTTCAGCGTATAACCCCAAGTAAAAGCATTTTCAAAAGGAGACCAGTTACCGCTAGTGGGATTTCCTCAAAAAGAAACACATCTTCACAGGCGGAACCCAGTTATCTAAAAGCTTTCTCTTTCACGCGGAAAACCATAACCTGTGTAAAAGCTTTCCTCCACAACGAGACCTATTCAAGCGCTGGATTTTCCTATGTGGAAACCTATCTCCACCAGCGACACCCAGTTACCCAAAACGTTGAATTTCCACAAGTGAACCCTTTCCTCCACCAGCGAGACCCAGTCATCCAAGCGTTGGATTTCCCCAAGTGGAAGCTCATCTCCACCAGCGAGATCCAGTTACCCAAAGCGCCGCTTTCCTCCACCAACGAGACCCAGTCATTCAAGCGTTGGATTTTTCCAAGTGGAAGCTCATCTCCATCAGCGAGACCCAGTCACCCAAAGCATTGAATCGCCGAGTTAAACGCTCTCCTCCACCATCGAGAGCACTTACTGAAGCGTTGGATTTCCCCAAGTAAAAGCTCATCGCCATCAGCGAGACCCATTACCCGAAGCGTTGGATCCCCAAGTAAACGTTTTCTTCCACCAGCGAGACCCAGTTATTTAAGCGTTGGATTTTCCCAGATGAAAGCTCATCTCCACCAGCGAGACCCAGTCACCTAAAGCATTGATTCGCCGAGTAAAGGCTTTCCTCCACCATCGAGAGCACTTACTGAGGCGTTGGATCGTTACCCGAAGCGCCGCTTTCCTCCACCAACGAGACCCAGTCATTCAAGGTTGGATTTCCCTAAGTAGAAGCTCATCTCCACCAGCCAGACTCAGTAGAATACCCAAAGGATTTTCTCAAGTAAACGCTTATCTCTATCAGCAAGAACAGTTACCCAAGCGTTGAGTTTCAAGCAAAGCAAAAAACCTTCACCAACGAGACCCAGATTCAAGCGTCTCTTTAAAGACAGCGTCCAGGCAAGTCTGGACACATGGGGCTCTCACGTGGATAGTAATTTTGGAACCCTAACTAAGCCACTGCCCAACCGGCAGCTCAGGTAGTGCTCTAACGGCTGAGATATTCCCCTCGAAACTGGACCACGCGACCGTGTTTCACATGTATTCATGGCGCAAAGCGTGGATCCTGGCGCGAAACTGCCATAAATCCATGCGAATGCGATCTCGCGGGGTCCGGTTTCGAAGGGTATATCTCAGCCGTTAGAGAACTACCTGCGCTGTTGCTTGGGCAGTGCCTTAGTTAGTGCCCCAAAAGTACTTTCCACGTGAAATTTCCATAGGTCCAGATCAGCCTGGACGCTGCCTTTAAGTAAACGCTCGTCTCCACCAACGAAACCCATTTACTTACGCTTTCCTTTTCAACAACAAGAAATATTTTCACAAATATATACTCGTGTCCACCGGCAATACCATTACTCGAGCACTTTCAATTCTGGAAGCGCAAGCAAGATTAGTGTGAGATAAAACCTCGTTCCCACCAGCGACACCCAATTACACAAATTAACACCTCTACAAATCCATCAGATAACATTCTGATCAAAATTTCCGACATTTGTCTAAATGCTTTTTCTTCTGAGGTGTCGCCTCTGATAAGAGAACGCAATTTCACGCTTTTCGGAATACGACAAAAGTTAGGTTTTCTCAAAAGCTTGGAAAAGCAAAATTTCCATCAAATTCGCAGTATTTCTTACAAATGCTCCGAGAGCATTAGGTTTTGGCTCTACCATGAGACCAACTCAATCTGTGCGACATAGTTTTTGTGTAAGCAGAGAAAAACGAAACAAAAAAACGATAAATAAACGTAAACGCACAAAGGCAGAAACATAAACTGGAAATGTTGAAAATCTTTACCACCTGCAAGCTAAAGATTTTAATAGATAAAAAATACGTAAGACGATGCGGCAACAACCTTGCACGAGGCGACTTTTCATGATAATGGCGACATAGTATACCGAACCTCGACCGGCGGGAGCATTTGCCACGTTATTTTATGGATGTTGCTCAAGGATCGCATATGTAATCATGTGATTTATGCGAAAACATCGTCTTGAGACTGTTGATATGCAACTCGTGATGGTCTGTTTACAGTCTGGAATTTGTCCTTAGGCAACAGCTATGCGCGAAAAAAAATTCGAGACGGTTCGGTCACATGAAAACATGTGTCTCATATATTGGAATACACAAGGGGCGTGTTCGCATCTCGTCTGGCTTCTCCTCGTCTACCATCTGCTATCGTTTAGGGAAAGTGCACGAATTCATGCTTTTATACGTAGTGATCGTAAGCGCAGTTCAAAAATGTGCAAATAGCGGGGAACCGCGTGGTGGTCCCAGAACGCGGATGCAATTTAGCGCCTTTGATACTGGTTCACTAGTTGGTAGTCAAAAAGAAATCACTTGGTACAAACTTAAGCTTTATCTGTGAAGGCAGTGGTGCCAAATTTGCGGCTCTAATCTTGGTTAATAATTATGTTCTACATCAGCGTGGAATGACTCAGCCCTTAAGCACACGCCGTACTTGATCCACTTGATCCACTTCATCCACTTCGCTATTGGCCAACTTATGGACGACCAATGCGAATTGAATCAAGTGAAAATCCACTTAGCTGTCGGTGAGTTTACTGAGTTGACCAATAGCGATGTGGATCGAGCGGATCATTGGAACATTTATGTCGCGTGCCTCAGGGAGAAAACGCAACTTAGGATCTCATATCAGAAAACATACAATCCTCTGCAGTTTTTATCATATGTTTTCAGTTTTTTTCAACTTTACAGTTTAATTTTTTTCTGCTGTCGATGACAGCTGCTGCATACAGTGACAGAGAGTTGTGATAAATGAATACCATGCTGCAAATTCGTGCACATATTTGCCAACATTGTTTAGAATTGCACGATTTTGCAGAGATGGTTGAAGCATGCGAATTACATACTTGAGGGGTAAGCTCCCAGTTACAGTTACGACTTATTGCTGAGAATGTACATATGGAGATCATAAATCATCGCAAATCTACAGTAAGACCCGTAACGATTTGATTGTTTGGTTTGTAGTTAACATGGCAAAGTTTGTAATTGAGTTTCAACCCGACCAACCATGTCTATCGTATCATCGAAGTGAATTTTTCACGCGAATGTAAGTACCCTTTGATTCAACTGGCTTGGCGCCTGGAAGGCGGGGCTTGGCCTAATTAAGGCTAGATATTGATCAGAGGGCACGCACGCGACAGAGACGCAGACTGCGTCGCGAGCGGCCTTAATTAGGTCACATACCCCGCCTACCAGCCATCAAGCCAGTTGAATTAAAGGTTACAGTCTGTTTTCAACGGATGTGGGTTGAAGTCTTTCATGCGCAGTTGCGCGTCCGCTTCGTTGAAAGGTTTGCGAGCGCACAACGCTGGCTTGAAGAATGAAGAGACGCAAACACAGGTTTATGTAGGATATGATATGCTGCCGCTGTGGTACGGGAGAATTCTTGCAAAGTGAACGTACGTCGCTCCAGAGTCTGCCTATCAGCTGGAACCAAATGTATCAGAGTTTTTTTTTATGTACTTAGTTATTGGGATAACTATGCACACTAAGATAATTCATGCTTGAAGAAATAAAATTTCAAGGAAACTGTCTCTTCGTAATACACAGATTGGATGCCGCGCAAACCTGAATATGTGCATTCAAAGTCGCAGCATCGATTGGAAACTTCTGCATTGTTATATCAAATTTACCCTCAGTAATTTTGAATTAGAGTAGTGTATACGTGCACTTTGAGAGGCATCAGTTAGGTTTTACAGCCTAAGGTATGGGTGGGTCTGCGTTTTTAGGTGGAGTTTGCCACTGTATTTATAAACTATTTTTGGGGGATATATCCTAGCTTTGGTTCAGCGCAACATATCTCTCAACTCAAGGACCACTCAAAAGATTGAGATTGTACCACGTATTCATCTTTATCACCAGCGAAACAAATTATGTGGTACTGAAAACTTTTTATTCAGATGGCCATATATGGCTGTACGAGTCATCCCGCGGATGTGCAAATCACTTCATGTCCGGCGCATCCTATCTCGTCACATTCTTCAACCGAATACAGCGGCTTGTAGAAGTGGGCGTTCGACCTGTCGTCGTTTTCGACAAAATAACGGATTTTCTTAGTTCCGTACGTTTTGTTTCCCCTACTCTTTCTAAGCTTGTAACTCCAGCTTTAACGACTTTGTTTAAGCCAACAACTCTAAACTCGCATGTTAAAAAGTCCAAACGGAGTGGCGGTCACGGGTGGAATCTTGATGCACATAACGAGTTAAAGAAACGGGTCTACAATGCGGAGGTAATGGATTTTCTGTAGTTTGGGCTTATTTCTGAGATGCAGTTCTTCCAGCAACTTTTGAATAATATGGGTGTTTCTGTTGTCATGGGTGGTTCCGATGGTGAGGCACAGTGCGCTCAGTTGGAACTTGCTGGTTTGGTGGATGGTTGTATCACGTCCGATTTTGATTACTTTCTATATGGTGGCAGGAATCTCTACAAGGTTGGGTGTCGTTTTTTTCCTATCATGTCCTCACTTTTGTCCAAAGAACTTCTATGATTTATTTATAATTTTATTTATATCCAGAAATCTATACATTTCTCAGTACAGCTAATCATATACGTCATTTACGCTACCAACTAACTTCTCTGTAGTAGTTATCGTCTGAGTTTTGTTGTCACTTTTTTCCACATCTCAGCGGCAAAGGTAGGGAAGGCAGTGTTTGCATCACAAATTGAAAATTTAAAGTTCTTATAATAACGAAGTATTATCCTTATTTAGACTCATGGATGTGTATTATTGAATCTTATTATAAAAATGTAGTTGGGACACGAACGCGAGTGATTTTTAGGAACAGCAGCATCATGAAAAAAATCCCTTTCTGTACGTATGGGGCATCCCCGAGAATTGTTCCCTTATGAACCATTAACGTGGCTGTCTTTCGATCATTTTAACATGTCAGCTTTGCATAAGCGCCTTGAATATGCTGGAGTTGAGGTGTTAAAACGATTAAAATGCAGCCACGTTGAAGGTTTATATGGGAACCATTCTGGAGGATGTACAATATTTCTACCCTTCCTCTCAAGGCCTTCAGGTTTTCTTCAATCACTCGTTTTCTCCGGATAGTCAATTTACCACTCAATGAAGCAGCGTCAGATGCTCACATATCTTTCAAAATTTTCAGGTGGATTTTAAAAATGGTGGAAGAGAAGTGGAGAGCACAGTTAACCTGTTCTCTATGGACAAATTTGAAGCCACTCAGTGTTAGTTGTTATTTCGTTGTCTCTTCCTTCATCTTTCATCCAGCAACGGCCGCGCCACCCTTGATTTATAGGTTTGACACGTAATCGACTAGTGGCGTTGGCTCTTCTGCTAGGTTGCGACTACTTACAAGGAGGGGTGAATCGCGTAGGAATAATAACAGCAAGAGAAATTATCTCCGAATTTTCTATAAATGATGATGATCACGCGCTGACGATATTAGATCGATTCGGGTGAGTCACTTCTTTTCGATGTTTTTTTTTTTGCTTTCGCGATATAAACTGCTTTACATGCATTTGCCGGAATTTTGCTATTCAGGAGCTATTTTCGAGGAGAGGTACCTGAACGTGCTAGTGATACCAACACTAAGAAGAAACTAAGAAGAGCGAAAATAACATTACCAGATGGATTTCCGAATTCGGACATGTTCATGTCAGACTCCTCCAAATCTGGTTAACGCGTCTAGGTGAAGCTAAAAGCCTATCATTTCAGCGAAGCAGCATCTGTATACTTATGTCCTGAAGTAAAAGAGAAAAAAGAGCTGCCCACTCCGCCTCCTCGGAATATGGCTAAAGTTGAGGTAAGTTATCTGTTTCTGTTGATACTTCTATAGCAATCTCGGCTTGAAAACCTCGCTTTCTTAAACCGGTCCCTGCCAGCTTCTAGCGCTTGCTTTTTTCACTCAACGAAAGCTTACTGCAATAAAAACAGCGTAAGAATCGCAAAAATATACCTTTTCATACCATCCTTCAGGGGTAAGTCATCCGCTGTTCTGCAAATGCTGCACTTGTTGCTAGCGCAGTCACGTAAATGAATGAGATGTCATCAATATTTCCCATTGTATAATGTATCTCCTGAAAATCCCTTGCTCTTTTCTCTCGAAGTTTTTTGATTTGAATCGCGTTTTAGAGCACACTTATGCGAGAATGCGGTTGGACGTCAAAGCGTTTCTCTCAGGAGATAGTGAGGAGTAGAAGAAGAAGCCAGAAGATCAAAAGCGCGGTGAGTACTATTTCAAATTAAGAAAGCCAACGCTCACTCACTCTCTTTTACTCGCTATTAGTTCATCACATCTTTTTTAAAGTTCTAATCTTTGCGACAAGTTCAGTCACTCAAACTCACGGATTTCTTCCCATCTGTGCGACGTTCGTTTTCGACATATACTAATAGCTGCGATGTGGATGCTCAAAAGCATAGTAGGCGAGAGTGGGCAGCTTTGCAGCGGTTGCGAATGAACGCTAAGCTTTATGACAAAACTGAGGTTTGTTAGGCTTTCTTGATTCATCAAGAACTTATGCCAATAACTGTAGGCTATCATCGAAGATCCCAAAGTTTGTGATGAAAACCCCACCAACGGAATCCGAAGAAGACCAACCAAAAGGTAATTGCTTTTTGAAACTTTTCTTGCTGAGTTGAATTTTGGCAACGCAAGTTGAGATATAAAAACGTTTTGTCCATATTTCTACAATTTTATTCCGTCTAACTTCCAGCCATACCAAATCATTTATCAAAATTTTGCAGAATGCTAGCAGAGGGCTCAGTGTCATGTTCATCGCCCAAATGTATGCGACTAGAAGACTCACCCAATTCTGGCTCCTCCGTACAGATTATCGCGAGATAGAAGAAGGCGGACGGCACGTGATTGATGTAATGAACCAATTTCTTTCAGCATTTAACCTATCAGTTGATGACGTTGACCCAGTAGAATAGCAGTTTTTTCTCTGGTGACTTCTTTTTTGCTCTTGTTGCCTACATTTGTATTGTTTATATCTGCTTTTGCTTCACGAGGTGCAGGAATCACTCCTTCCAGAAAACGGTTCCGTTTTTTCACACGTTTGATATTCTCTTGCTCATATGGTGTATGCTTTCTGTTGTAGCGCTTATTATAGACAGCTTTACGCTAGTTCTATGAATAGTCTCATCTGTGGAAGTCATTCTGGTCAGGAAAATATCTTATATCCATATTAATAGATTTTTATATCATAGAAAATTTCGATCTTTCCTATCGTTTTATTTTTCTGACCTGCTGTTTGCAGGAAGTTTATATTTTTGTGTTGTTACTATTGATAATGATGTGTACATTTTTGATGAGGGCGTTATACTACTCAACTTTCTGCCCTTTTTATTGATTTTATAAATTCGTAATAACAAGAGTTCTATATTATTTTTTTCTGAAGATGTGAGATTTATGTAGATTTTCAGTCGCTAGCTGATGATCATTCCAAGGCAAGAGATTCTGATAATAAAGATGCATGAAGATTATGTGTGTCTTATAGCAAGGTTCATAATGCCCTCTTATCTAGCGAAGTTTCAGAATATGTTCGGTACGTTTTGAATGTTCCAAATGATTGTTTTGATATAGAATGACTACCTTAGCATTGCCAAGTACTGGTGGTTATGTGGATCAGGATGAGCAAGTAAGTCAATCAACATTTGTTTCGTCGTCGCGCGAGAAGACCTCACAGTGCTCAATTACTTGAGCAATTTGCCAACTTCTTATTTATCTATTCAAACCTTTCAGGTGCTTGTCGATGCTCTTCCGTACCTGGATACAGAATATAACGACGCTGATCGGCAGACCGCATTACGATTGATCGATCAAGAGTGCAAGGTACGCTTGTGGCTATACCATTTTTAGAATATATGCAAAAATCATGAATCACTGCAAGATTTTTTTTGCAAACAATGTGTAGTCAAAAGATTGAAATTGCTCACATATCGTTTACCCTATACAACAAAACGTGCTTTTCTTTTCCGGCGTTCTTTCGCTTTCCAAAGGGTAATCGCTTTTCTGCTAGAAGCTCCCAAACAGCAGGAAATAGTTTAGATTTTTCGTCCAACAAAAAACTACTTGAAACACCTTCCCGTTCCTGATTTTGATGCGTTTCTCACACCATGCATGATGAAGGAACATGCTAGGATGTCAAAGAAGCAGGTAATACTTACAGTCCCAAGCATTTCGGTGTAGTAGTATATGGATATCGTCTATTTAAGGAAATGCCAAAGTTGGATATGAGTCGCTGTGAACTTCCCTGCCCAGCAGGTACTTCCAGAGCTGGTGACAAAGTACAGTGGAGAAAGGTCAGTACATCTTCATATCTATGCAGCTCTGCTTTGTACCCATTTTTTGCAGGCGATCAAGAATGCAAAAGCACAGAATGAACATCTTGTAATGCGGCAAATAAATCTCGAGTTGATGGAAGAGTATGCACCTGAGAGCTACCTGAGAAGAAATAAAGAGCTAGAACAACTTTGCACAGAAGCGGAAAAAGAACTGAGAAAAACCAAAGAGCAGGTGAACTACTAGGCCTGTAGCGTAATCATTAGATACAATGATTCTTTAAGGTCATGGAGATCCATGCGAGACGTAAAATGGCGCAGCTGGATGCCGGAAGGCAGCTCAAGGAGCTCGAAGGCAGCTGGGTAGCTATGGTCACCAATAACTATAGGTAAGCAGTTGTCTGACTCTAAAGATTGCAATGTTCTTTTAGTCATTATAAAATGGAAACATGTTTTAGGATGACTTGCGTTTTGTCCCTTCTTTAGACGGAGTTTTGACTTCTAGACCCTCTCCAGGCTCCTCATATGTAGCATCTCTTTCTAACCTACCTCTTTTGGCAGAAAAGGGTCTAACTCGACGGGATTTTGGGTTTCCTTGCGTGAGCAACTCAGAACAGTGTCGCCTCCTTTTTCTTACAATTTCTGACTTCTACCTTTTCTATGCTCATAGCTTTGAGCCTTGGCGGCAAAGGCATCCCATTATCAAATTCTTTTTTCGTCAAATACGCTAGAACATGAATTTTCTTTCTGTTATGCTGTAGACTTATAAAATTTTGTCTTCAAAAAGTAATTTCAGAATGGAACTTGCAAATAATCAGTTGGCAGCCACCAATGCGCAAATGGCGAAACGTTTGCGGGTTGATCCGGCAGCACTCGAGAAAGTGACTCTGAACTGAGCTGTTGATCTCGTGGCCAATGTGTTGTTTCCAACCGTCAGTTTGCTATCATGTCAGTGCATGGTCGATAAAAGGTTTTTCAAAAATGTTTTCATACATTCTAAATTGATGGTATAGTTAAGTTCAGTCTTTTAATAGCACAGGATACCCCATTCCTTCAATAAAACCACAATCCATTACACTATGCATTCTTGAAACGCGAGTTATGCGTTTGGTCAAGACTTATTATATTTGAATGGGTCTTAATCGCATGCATGATCCAATGATCGGCTTGCAGCATCGCATGTATATTGACAACCATTTTGTGTAAAGTGTTTCCGCCATCTCGCACGTGTCGCGTCGGCAACATTTTTCTTACTTTTTCTGTTCCCAATCGCTTGTTATTTTGGAGGCAAAAACTGTGCTATGCTATTAGTGATTTTACTGATTTCACGTTCATCACTTTGTTGCTTACATGCTGCCAAGTGCTTTTTTTGAGAGATTTTTTAAAATATATACTCTTCCGGATCTTAAGATCTTCCGGATTTGCTCCCGACTTATTGCCTGCACTAGAAATCCTCTTTTTCTTTTCAACAACCCTGCTTTGATATTAGGGGTCCGAAAGTTCTTGCGCATCATTTCCAAAAAAAAAATCATAACTTCATTGCCTTTCGAGCTCGCTGGAAAAGCTGAATATCCATCCTAAGCGCATTGTCAGCCAATCTTTGATTTTCTTTCAGATAGTAAAGATTTCACTTATAAATAAACCCAAGGACTTTCTCGACTTACCTTCCATCCTTTTGTTGCGACCTGCAAGCGAAAAGATACAGAAATTATCCAAAACTCATCAATTCATGTGGATAGATGAACAGCTGCTCAACCGTATCGACCCTGCGCCGCGGTCAAAACCGCTTCGCGGGAGAGCGTCTGAGGCTGCGTGCCCGCTACAACGGGTTGAAAGGACGATACCATGTCCAAATTTGGAAATTTTTCACAATCTTCATTCTTAACGTTTGGAAAAGCTTTGATAGAGGTCAGATAGAGTAAATAAAGTGCAATACAATGTAATTCTTTTGGCATCTCTAACTGGCTTCTCAGTACTTTTTGAAACAACTTTTCCAAAACTCTTCACTTTTGCGAGGCCGCAAAATACACGAACGCTCTAAACACTAAAAATTTTTTGGATTTTGAAAATTTTGAAAGTCGATTGTGATCACCCACGTCATCCACTATTTTTACAAAGTAAGGGAGCGCTACCGCTTCAAAATATTAGATTTTGCATATTATTGTACACTCTGGTACGGGTTCAAACAATATTTATGGAAATCTTATCGTCAAACACCGCAAATTAGGAAGAAAAACACTCATATGAAGAGGAAAAGCTGATCGAATGATATATTGGTTATGCACCGTTTTATGTTCTTTGGCTCTTGGCATCACCGAAAGAGGAATTCAATAGCGTCACAAAAATTATTTTGAAAAAATTTTGAGGCTTTCTATAGATGCCGAAAAATTGCATTACATTGCATTTTATTTACTCTATCTGAATGCTATCAAAGCTTTTCCAAAAGTCAAAAAAGAAGATTGTGAAAAATTGCCAAATTTGGGCATGGTAGAAACCATGCGTTCGAAATTTCGGCGATTATCTCAGTGAACACAAGAGTAAGCGGCACAGGAAACAGTTAAAAAGAGGAAGAAAAGCGACGTCGGCTAGTGCTTGAAGCGATCTCCTATCTTCGTTCCACCTGTTTTTATGATAGGTTGAAACGGAAAGAACTTTCGGAACAGCCTATTATTAGGTCGTTCCATAAGTTCGTAGCGTTTTTATTTTCGTACTCATATCCTTGAGGAGCGGTTGATTTGCGGCGGAATGCATATATCGTTTGGAAGGGCTGATTGTGCTCTTTAAATAACATCTACTGATTTCGGTGGAAAACTGATTCACTCGGATCTCGCAGCTTCCAAAGATGGAAATTTTGAAAGGCAAAAAAGAGCAATTTCGGCATTTGCGCCTTTTTCGTTATGAAAAGAAGCGTTTTTGCACAGATTTTTGTGTCGATTATGTAATGTGGCGTTTGTTCATTAACATAAGACAAAAAAGAATTGGATTGATACAAAAGAGTAGGAGCTGAGCAGGATGTCCCTGAACAAGACTTTTCGGGGGACGGGCAGGACATCCTGCACTGAATATTGCTGACAAGTAGGCGACGGTCAACCACACCATAAGCAATCCAACTGCACGGTTTAAACCAGGTCTTACCGCAGAAAAAGCCTAACAGATAAATCCAGTGAGTTTTTCTGCATGGTGAAACATGACCTCATACGGCAAACGTCGTCAAAACTGTCCTGCGCGACTGGACTGGAAGGTACTTCAGTACCCAAAATACTCTCCAAACCTCGCTCTACCAGATTATCATTTGCTCCGCTCTCTGGCAAACCTCATAAATTGTGCATGTCTCATTTCAGTAAGCAACTTGAGCGCTGGTTAGATGACTTTCTTGGGACCCGGCGCGCTGCCTTTTCAAAAATTGAGGTTGAGAAGCTAACAAGAATGTGCCAAAAGGTTGTGCGCTACAACCATGGATATAATTTTGAGTGATTTTTATTGTAAATTCATGATTTTGTTGGTTTATAAAAACGCTACGAACTTATGGAACAACCTAATATTTCATAGAGGTGGTCCTGCATGAGCTTTTCTTTGGGATCATTCTTTGATTTAAAAATTTCAACGTCGCAGAATTGGACCATCAAGAAATTCAGAAAACGGAGGAAAAGATAAGAAGAAATTGCTATATCTAACTTTTGCTTAAAGCATAACACGTTTTCAGATGAAAGATTCGAGATGAATCAGTCTTTGAAGACTACCGTCATGAATAACGAGCCTTATGTTCAAAGCCATTTACAGTCTAGTCTTTCTTTTTCTTCTGATTATATTTCAGCTTCCCTGCTAGATTTTGCACAATCGTCACGTTCACGTGGTCTGTTTCCCAAAAAAAAAATCTGGAATGTGAAGAGGTATAAATTTCCCATACTACTGTAGCTTTTGGTTTGCTAATACTTAAACTTACGTTATATCTTGATCTCCACTTTGATTACTGGGTTCGCTGCATTTCTAAACGTAGTTATTGCTCTATTATTGAATTGTATTTATACTCGGTCGGGTATCTATATTCGATCATTTTATTTATACTCGATCGACCGCCATTCTCTCATCTTTGTTTCTTATTTGAAATTTAATATCAAGTTGATAGTTCGTGTAGCTTAAAATTACCAAATTTTACAATAACAAAACAATTAGTCTTCTACGGATTTCAATGAAGAAGTGATGGCATGTAAAAGTTCGTGGCAACTGCTGTGCTCTATTTGAAACAAAACGCTCCAAATTCTCTATCCGATATTCGCATGGGAAGCATGTATAGGAAGAATTCTGAAATGTGAGAATATGATCTCGAGAATTCAGGGCCGGTAGTAATCTGGTCGAAACTCCGAGTTTAAAGCTGCGCGTTAACTCAGAGTTAACTCTGAGTTTCGTTTCGAAACTCAGAGTTAACTGCGAGTTTCGCTTCTGAAACTCGGAGTTTCGTTCTGCTACTTGAGGCTCCGCTCTAGTTGTTGAGGAGCCGCCATACGCTTCATCGCAAAACTCTGCGACTAAGTCGAGACTCGAACTTTCGTTGCTCGGCACGAAGTGCCTACTATTAGGCCACTAGGCTAAAGAACCACTGTTATGGATTTGCTGCAATTGCTTATTGCATCCCCCTAATCAAGATCTCACATGTCAAGACACGTGGAGAGGCGTTAGGCTTGCCTGTGAGGTACCTAGCAGTGGCGATCCCAGGATTTCGGTACCAAGGGGGGGGGGGGACGTGGCAAGAATTTTTTTCAAGTAAAGGTGCGTGGCGTTAGCCACGCATTCTGAAAATTTTTTTGGGGTGCACCACAAAATTTTTGCGGGTCTATAGCCCCTAAAATCTAGAAAAAAGCCCCCGGAAAATTTTTTTACAAGATTAATTTGAATTTTTAAAAAATTCTAAAAATTATTTTGATTATTTATAAAGATAAACAAGTTATTTGCACATTTTTATAGCCCATGTAGGTAAGTTTCACTCATCCCCCCCCCCCCCCGCCCCTCAATCCGCCACTGGTGCCTAGCCATAATAAATCCTAAAGATTCTTAAAGAAGTAGCAGGATAAAACATGGACATAGACAGTAACCCAACAACCCGTACCCCTCCTCTCACCCCATATTTTAATATGCTATTATACTTGATAAAATTCAAAAGTCTGTTAGTATCCAAAATTTTGCGGATGAGCTATATCTAAATTTTGTAAACTTGAAATTGACCATTATTTTGTGAAAATAGACTAGTAAACAGTAGTAAACAATAGTAGTAAACAAAGTCTACAGGTTATTAGTTTTATGAGTCAGTATGCCGAACCCAGGTTAGTACGGTGGTATCTTTTATTCGACCTTACGTTTCGACACAGTCGTCGTCTTCGGAAGTCTGAAGTAGATTGCAGTTGAATCTTTGAAACAAGACCGCCAAACGCCATCGCCAAACATCAGTGAGCCTAGACTTCGTCCCGCGCGCAACGTACTGAGGCACACGCCGATGAAGAAACTGACCTTTGATCCACCGCGGTGTTATTGAGAAGTCAGTTGCCGCACAAATGACACGGACGACACTGAGAGCTGCTCAGTGGATCATTCTTTATATATGTGCAGGCTGTAACTCACATATCGACAGATATGGCAAGAGTTCGGTCGCTATTGATAAGCATTCATTTCCGTCATTCATGCTTGGATTTCTGACGGAAATCCATGTTGCTTCCATACTTTTTCGTCCTACAATTTCTGCCTCGTATGATAGGATTGTGCATTTCACATCAAATTCACCGCCATCGTGTGCTTCTATTTTATGTTTCCCAACGGTGATAATGCATTAGCTCGCCTTTTGTTCGATAAGTGCTCCTTAATTCTTACCCGCAACATTCTACCCGTTTCTCCAATATATAAGGCCCCACAGCTCAGACACTCTAGTTGATATACAACCCCTATTTTCGCGCAATCGCCTATCTTACCGTACGGGCAAACTATACAGTCTTC